TGACATGTTCGAAACGAGTAATTGTACAAATTAGCAATTAAATTCCAATAGTGCTTAGGCATTTTATCCAATATGAAGGGTGATAATCCGTGGATATCGCAGGATCGTTTCTTTTTCCTGCCCTTCAATAATCAGCGGCTCTGCCATAGATCAGAAGAAATTGAAAAAGTGAAGACTGAAATTTTAATTATTTGTTAAAAAACTTCCCTGATAATACCAATTATAATTATCGGTTACAACCGCTCATCGGTTAACCGCTGCATCCCTAGTCTAGTGTCGAAAATTGAAAAAACGACAAGTTTCTATCTTAAACTTACTGCTGTCAAAAGTTATTCAAAAACCGTCTTCCAGTAGCCGCACTATATTTTGAAACGGATAGTAGTGTATCAGTGTATTTATTGATTTGTTAAAAACAAACATATGAAAAAGAAAAGAAACAAGAGTTTATTTATTATTTTGTACAGCTTTTTTGTCTACTATTTGCTTTTTCCATATGTTTACATGAATAAACAGCAATCGTTTTTTCTTTTTCTTTTTCGGGTTGTACCTTCGTTACTAATAATAAAATTACATAGTGCACAAGCAACGACAGCTTGTCCAACGCCTTTCTCCTTACCACGACTATCTGTATCGTAATCAATCCAGCAGAGAGAATCTTCAACTGTACCATAACGACAATCTTTGTTACCAGCATCACAACATTCTTTACTATCAGATTTAACTCTTTTACCAAAACATGAATTTGTACCAAATATACCTGAACATTTATCACGATCATAAATACCAGCATAGACAGCACGACACGACTGATTAATAACACAAACACTTTTAACAATGTGTGTGCCAACGCACAATAAGAGCAGGAGGATGAACAATTCCAAACAGTAAAGAGAAAACAGAAAAACAGTTGAAGGTTAGTTAGCAGAAACAGTCATGCATGCGTGTGTACGTTCGAGTTTTTTATTCATCAGTTCCAGTCATGAATACAGGAATCATGCGCGTATTATTTTTTAAAGATTTACACGTAGACAAGAGGGCTTTGTTTATCTCATACTCGCTAAAACGCGGTTTTTTCAACGCGTTTTAGTAATGCGTTTACTGCACAGTTTGTGTCGCGTTACGTGGACAAGCAGCTTTACAAAGGCGTCTAAACGCCTCGTTTTCACACTTAGATGAAAGATGACGCGTTTGAAATGACATCAGTAATTACTCGACGCGTTTCGTCTTTAATGTGTTTAGTAGAACTGGAATTTGTCGCACGTTCTGATATCAACTTCACACGAACTTTAACTTGGTCAGAATTTTCATCAAAGGACGCTTTTGTCTTAGTATAGCAAACTCTCATCTTTTCCGGTATCAAGTAGAAATCAGTCGGTTACCAAAATCTGGGAGAGTCCTATTTCTAATAGTTCAAGTCTCCTGTGCTTCAAGTAATCGAAAGACAATTGTAACTTAGTTGAATTCATGATGCTGAATAATCAAACTGAATATGTATCTTAGAATAACACGAACGTTGCACAACGGCGCACAATGAATAATCTGAAATAGTTAAAAGTCGTGTAGATTTTTGTAAAGAAGATTCTAAGTAGAATTGAAATGAGAAATTATAGCTAGTGCTCTAGATCAACTGCAGACATAGTTGGATAGTCATCAAATAATTTTTTCGTACCGCACTGTCATGCACAATGATTCCTCAAAATTTGAATGTCTGTCCTGTAGACTGCAACCGATCAGTACTTTATGCTTTTATCAGCATACTCTCATTTCGGGGTGGGGAAAAAAAATTAATTACAAATGAATTAGTTTTTGATTTTCATTTAGAATCAAACGTTTTTACCTCTCATATCTAAATGTTTATTAAGTGAAAGAAAAAAAGCGAAAAAAAAATGCGACGGAAGTGAAACTATTTGTTTTGTTATACACCGCTGATAGAAGAGAGACAGAGAAAATGTTACAGAGACAGAGAAACACATAGTGCGATGAAACCAAGGGGGTAAAAGCATTTTGGAATGGTACAGAATGGTACGGAATGGGTTGGAATGGGCCCTTTCAGCCCACTTTTCCCCTTGGATGAAACTGTATGATGTGCTACTGTTAGATAACTTTTGTTTACAAAAAAAGAAATGGAAACAGATAAGACACTGAATGACAAATGTCTTTCTTTGCGCTTGCGAGATAAATCAGTCCTGTTATGTACTAAATATTTCTTTACAAAGAATTTGTTAAGATGATTCTCACATGTTTTAGCTGTATTCTGAAGAGAAAATTTTAATATTTTGATCTGGTATATTCGAGAAAAATATTTAAACTGATTCGTGAGGTTCCTGAACGACTTTCACTCAAAGAAAATGATCAAATATTTGCCATGATAGAGGAAACTCGAAATTTCACAATCTCGATATTTATACTACACTCGGGATCACTTAAACTTAAATGAGTAAAAACTAGGAGAAAGAGTAGTAAAGCGCCCCAAATTCAGAGTTACAGTGACATTTCAGTTTGTGGCTCAAACATACATCATTCGATGCAGAATTTTTCGCTGAGCGAATATCTTACTTTAAAAATTTTCAGTGCGCGTATTGAGCGAAAAATTGAAAGTTGTCGCTTTTTCGAAAAATCACAGCTTTTTGAAGCTTTCGCAATATCTCTGCTTCTCAAGGCCCTGGAACCATCGAAACGGGTTTTCCAGAATCAGTGACAAAAGCTGCATACTGCAAAGTATATTTGAAGGTTCTACAGCCATAAGAACTATTTGCTTCCTCATCAAACTTTAGAGAGCCCCTCTCCGCTCGCAAAGCTATCGCCGCCCTCAGTTTAAGTGATAGAACCCGTATTTTTGCGCCGTTCGAACCACCTCCAAACGTAGAACAAAGTTACCTGCCGGTTTTTTGAAATTTTTCTTTCTTCCTGAAATATTGCACTTTTATTAAAAACATACACTTTTAAGTAAGTACTTTATCAAAAACCGAAGAAACACACTCGTATTTTGCAGTTTTCATTAGTTTTGCAAAAAAAATGAAAGTTGACGATGAAAACTGGAAAATACAGAACAAATCGAATCGATTGTCACATTACATATTCATAGTTTGCCTTAAACCGCAAAATGTAACGAACTGAAATTTCTACCACAGATAGATAACTTCTAGATTTACTGCTAAAAGAAATTTCATTTGATCTGGTCAAGCAAACAAGAGTTATTAGCAGAACAGACGGTGTTACGGTACTTCAGAAAATAGAATTTTTTTCAACGGGTACTATCTGTCCTACCCTATCGACTGAAATAATGAACAATTCTCGTAATTATACTCCGTTTATCAGAGGAATGAAATTATCTACGACTAATAATCAATGTGCTGCTGTTGCTGAATTTTTAGCAACATACGAAGTATTTAACCCTAGTACTCCCAAGCCTATTTTTAGCGATAAAAATAGAATGCATTTTGAGAAAGATATTCTTTTTCTCTTTTCAACAAGCATCTGATTAAAACTGAGTTGTTTCTAAGTATTAGTCAATCAAAAATGACTAAACTAATAGGTTTTGTTTATTTAGAACAATTAATACAAAAAACGCGTTTCACACTATGCTGTTTGCATACAGGCTCTGAACATTTGTAGCATGTGTTAGAAACTTTTCTGTCACTTGAATAATCGCAAAGTGAACATCGTTTTCGCTTGGAGCGTGCAGAATCTGTGATAAATGTTTCTAATTCTGTTTCTATCCGCGGATAACCAAATAGAGCTAGCGCATTTTGAATATCTTTGTGCAATGTTGATGAGTTTTTTGAGCGAAAATCTAAAAGATAGGATGTCAGAAGTGTTCCTAAAGCTTCTACAAATAGACGACGCTTGTATTTTTTATTCGCATTCCAATTTGGATTTTTCTTTTTTCATAAGATCATTGCATTGATAGCAGCAGCATCAATCATTCCATAAAACACACATAGTGGCCATCGTCTTGTACCTCTTTTTACAGAGTATTTGTGACACATTTCTTCAATAGTGTCAACAGCCCCTTTGGTTTTGTTATAGTCCAGAACAATATTCGGTTTTCCAGTTCCAGTATCTACTTTGTTATCATGATGCATAGAAGAGAGTAATAGGACAGCTTTGTTTTTCTTTGGAACGTATGACACCAGTGTTAGATTGTCGCTGAAACCGAATATCGATGAACCAACGTCGCAATTTTTATTCGACTGAAACTCGATAGGAATCTCGGGCTTATTTTTTCTCAAGGTTCCTACCAAAGTAAGTTCCTTTGAGTGTAATTCTTTGGCTAATGAAATACTGGTAAAGAAATTGACGATCGTAACATTTCTATTCGAGCCGTACATTGGTTTCATTAGCTCTAAAACAACATTAGCACCAACAAATCGTTGCCGTTGTTCATTAGGTTGTCGTCGGATATAAGGAAATGCATCGAATATATAGTAAGAATTGACATCGACACAGAACCAGAATTTAGTCCCATATTTATCCGGTTTAGATGGGATATATTGACGAAATGGACACTTCCCTCGAAATCCCAAAAGCTGTTCGTCAATTGTAACATGCAATCCAGGGTTGTAGCATTTCTTTAAATTTTCTCGAAAATCTGTCCAAATTTCACGAAATGCAGCGAATTTGTCCGTTAGTTCCCTCTCTTCTCGTGTTGTTTTATTGTCAAACCGAATTGATGAAATTATTGTTTCAAAGCGATTTCTCGACATGGTAGCTCTGAATATCGGAGATTCCAGTGGGCTTCTATTCCACACAGATTTAATACTTTTCTTTGATTTTCCCATTAATCCACCCAACAATAAAAGCCCAATAAACTCTTTGAGTTCAATTAATGTTATTGGTTCCCATTCACCATTAGAAGCTGTATTACGATTGCCTTCGATATTTGAATAAACCATTATCTTGTTCAGGATTTCCTCTGATATGAAACACAGAAAGGCGTCCTCGACAGAAGTTATGTTTTTACTAAATTCTGTAAGTCCACACTTCTCAGTGGCAGTATTAGAAAATTTTGTTTTGCTTGCATGTGATGGAATTGAGAACCAGGTCGTCCCGGATCTGGAACTAAAGGAAGTTTCCTTGGTAAAATCTA